ACTCATGTAAGATCCTCTATGCATACAGCACACGACAACCAGCATAAAAATGTAATAAAAATGTTATAAATGATGTACGTCACTACAACTGACGTAATAATGTTAGAACATTCATGTCCATGTCCTATTGAATTTATTAAACGAGTTTAATAATTTGATATGACACGACCCTTAAGGTTAAAAAATTCAATACGACATGGACACGAATGTTAGATTCTATTAATCATATAACATTCATAATTTGGAAATTTAATCATCACCATTATGTGTTATCTATTGGGTAAAAACCAAAATCTTCTATCATAGTGTTGTCGTTCCGCACAGTGGAAAGTAGTTCCAGACGTGTTTTTTTTTTTTAAAAATAATGAACAATTTCAAATGCAGTGAAAATAATATTGACAAAATAAACCTTTCAAATTTATTTAAAATAACAGTAAATGTATCATGTTGTATAGTAAATAGAAGTTATACCTGTTGTGGCATAGGAATATGTTCCCATGGATATGACTAATTACATCACCTTTGGGTTTTATTACATGTGTGTAATATGACATGACCGTATGACATAGTAAAACTGGTCAGTGATGTGATATATCGGGTCTGTGTTTTAAAGTTGTACGGATTAATTAGATTAACGTATTGACTTTAACACTTCTTGCATATTTAAGCCAAAAGGCAGAAAAAAATACGGAAACAAAATCTAAATATCTACTTCAGGCATGCATGAAAATATTGCTATTTCATTACGATGGGTATGGATAAAGATGATATTAATGCGTTGTGTATAAATTGTCATGCCTGGGGCAGATATTTGAAGGTCGTACCATCTGCCTGTACATGTAATTGTAATGGAGCAATGAATGAAGCACCATTATATATATAGTATTTCACGTCCAGTCTCCGTCTGAACACATGTGCTTAAATAGGTGCCAACTTTGGGTGATTTTACGTCCTTTCCAAAAGAAACCTGTAAACGTCATTTGATGTGAAATTCTAGTAAAAACTTATTTTCATTATTACAAGGCATGATTTGTTTGTTTTAAATTTATCGATACTTTTTCATTAATGATTTTACTTGTGATAGTGTGATGTTTGTGTTCGCTTCAGTGGCAAGCTTCATTTATTCGGAACGTTTAATCAGAAAACAAACCGATGTTTCCTGCTGTAGTTGGTGAGCTTGAGACATTCCTCCATGTCTCCTGCTGTAGTTGGTGGTGAGCTTGAGCCATTTCCCCATGTCTCCTGCTGTTGTCAGTGGGCTTGAGACATTTCCCGATGTGTCCTGGCTGTAGTTGGTGGTGAGCTTGAGACATTTCCCCATGTCTCCTGCTGTTGTCAGAGGGCTTGAGACATTTCCCGATGTGTCCTGCTGTAGTTGGTAAGCTTGAGACATTTCCCCATGTCTCCTGCTGTAGTTGGTGAGCTTGATACATTTTGATATGTGTCCTGCTGTAATTGGCGAGCTTGATACATTTCCCCATGTGTCCTGCTGTAGTTGGTGAGCTGGAGACATTTCCCTATGTGTCCTGCTGTAGTTGGTAAGCTTGAGACATTTCCCCATGTCTCCTGCTGTAGTTGGTGAGCTTGAGACATTTCCCCATGTCTTCTGCTGTAGTTGATGAGCTTGAGACATTTCCCGATGTCTCTTGCTGTAGTTGGTGAGCTTGAGACATTTTCCGATGTCTCATGCTGCTGTTGGTGAGCTTGATACATTTCCCCACGTCTCCTGTTGTAGTTGGTGAGCTTGAGACATTTCCCGATGTGTCCTGCTGTTGTTGGTGAGCTTGAGACATTTCCCGATGTGTCCTGCTGTAGTTGTTAAGCTTGAGACATTTCCCCATGTCTCCTGCTGTAGTTGGTGAGCTTGATACATTTTGATATGTGTTCTGCTGTAATTGGCGAGCTTGAGACATTTCCCCATGCCTCCTGCTGTAGTTGGTGAGCTTGATACATTTCCAGACGTATCCTGCTGTAGTTGGTGAGCTTGAGACATATCCCTATGTGTCCTGCTGTTGTTGGTGAGCTTGATACATTTCCCCATGTCTCTTGCTGTAGTTGGTGGTGAGCTTGAGACATTTCCCTATGTCTCCTGCTGTAGTTGGTGAGCTTGAGACATTTCCCGATGTCTCCTGCTGTAGTTGGTGGTGAGTTTGAGACATTTTTCCATGTCTCCTGCTGTAGTCGATGGCATTGAGAATGTTCCGAACGAATTCTCCTGTGGTTGATGACGGTGAGACACGATGTCTCTTGCTGTTGTCGATGAGCTGAGGACAGTTCCGACACGAACTCTCCTGTGGTCGGTGACGTTGAGACAGATTAGTTTGTGCCTATTTCGCTCGTGTTCGAGACCACATCAAACCATTGTCAAAACAAATAGGTTTGTTGGTTGCTAGCTCTGCAGATTAACAGATAACAATCTTGTGTACATTGTCAGTCTTAAACGACAATAGTCAGATACTCTGGCCACAAAAAGTAAATACATTGACCTTAAATCAGATATCGATGTTTGGCTCCATTTACCTATATTAACCTTATAATCGTTTCATTTAAAGTGAGGGAGGTTTTACGATCAACCATAAGTCAAATGGAATAACAGCTTCCACTGCGTACACACATGCTATAATGCGAGTCTGTCGTGTTTGTTCACCAATGGACTACTGGTCCCGGGAATTCCTTTAGGTTTTCCTTTGGTTGAGGCACAAGTCCTAAACTGTTCGATTTTCTCCGGGGATACCAGACCCGTGTTTTACTAATCTACATCCTAACGAACGTGAAAAAGGGTGAGGTGCCAAATTACGGTAGGTAGAGTATTAAACACGGTATAGCAATATAAAATTGGATTCAATCTGTGTGAAATGCACATGCAAAGCTCACCCTCGTGTAATGCTTGATAAAGATTGTTTGATCTGGGAAGATCACAGAACGTTCTAATCAATTATACTGCTCGTGCATGGTAAACATTTTCCATTTAAAGTTGGTTATGTAATTTCAATAAGAATAAAAAGCTACCGACCTGTGACTAGTACGGAACGAGGAATGTTCCTGGTGCCTTTTAAGCTTATTTTCGTTTGCAATAATGATACTTTATTGATATTAACAATTTGCTTGAACATTCTGTTTCATTTACTTATTAGATTACATTAGAACGCGATGCATCAATGGTTTGCGATACATATCAGTATATATTTCAATAATGATTCCTGGTTATTTCCATATTTGAAAGTTGGTTTAAGCTAAATAGTGTTTAAAAACTGGGAAGTGGTTGCCATTTGTGGAGGTGAGTGCCAGATTTCTGTAGCGTACATCACAGCTATATACGGGTCAATATCACCAGCAGCTAATCCGTGGAGAATTGGTAACAATTTCCATTACAAGGGATGAACAGCTGCAGAATAAAGTTTCAACAAAAAATCTGTGTGCAACAATGCTTGTGAGAATTCAAAGAAAGAATATCATTTATACAAATGTAAAATCGATAGTTGTGACTGTTATTTTTGCAAGAATATTGATCTCTGGCCAAGTGAAATATGTGTAATTGAGTCCTATAGGGGTCGGACGTTATACTGTCCCGCACGTGCGTAGGTGTATAGACCACGAATAGTACATAAACACCCTTATATATACGTGTCACTGAGTATTGTAGGAGGGTTAACGTTACACGCGTCAGTATTTTTTGTAGGAGGACCACGCGCACCTGTCATTGTATTGATTTAGATGTAGATGGAAGCTGATTTGTAGAATTTTACGGTAAAAATTTGCATAGATCGGTATCATCAATATGTTGGACAGAGTAAATACTTGTGATATGTTGATGATGTGTTTACGTCATACGGGTTACGCGCTTATACATGCATGCTTATATTTATCGTTATGCTGAAGACTTGTATATAAAGTCCAGTAGCTAACGGTGTTTGTTAACTTTCTCACGGTGATCACAGACCATGCAGGATATGGTATATTAACTGTTTGGAGACTTAACAGATTGGAGGTAATGGTTTCAATGCTTTTAAAATTTGTTTCCTTTATGCTCTCTATTCTGGTGGAACCTTTTCACTCGTTACATTCCAGATCTGGACCCTCGCTAAACCAGATATACTGGAAACCTGTCCATTCTGACGCCGAGACATTTCCTAATTGTAGAATAAAACCATAATTTTCATAAATATGGTTGTTGTTTCCGTAGCCAGAGCGTCCGGGTTAACGAGATATCGGCACTTCACGAGGACGACCAGCATGTTAGTGGAGTATCTGGTTATTGTCATTGGCGTTATACAAGACAATCGCGACTAATTACATTAATGTCATGATGAGGTGCACATCACAACACTCCGACCATTTTATACACTACCTTATTGATCGGAGGTGAGGTCTAGACACTGACCAGCTGAGCACGTGATCACTGGTCAGAGGTGCATTGGTGGTTATGTAATGTGACAATAATGTCTGATTGTTTAATACTGTTTCGCTAACGCTGTCAGTGGTCGATAGACACAATAAGGACATCACTAAATCCGGACGGGAACCGGTCCGGAATTTCTCGCTGATTAAGCCTTGGGTACATTCTAAATGTTAGTAAACATGTGTATGGGACAATTTACACAGCTTTAGTGCTGATAGCATCTGTTAAAGTGTTTGTACGTAAGTGTAAGTATATCCGCAGAATTTAGACTTAAATCAATGCAGTTTTGTACTCCTACATTATCAAAAGATCATGTATTATTTGTGTATTTATTTTATGTCATGAAATTCTTATAAAACTTAGTTTTGATATTTTTTATTTGAAATGAAACAGACGCCTATAGCCTTTTTGTTTACAATATATTGCGAGTAAAACTGAACTGGAGCCAATGCTTCTAAAAGAGTCTAGTATTTTACTCAAATGCTTTTAAGGATCAGCGTTTTGCTTCAGATGTAAAAATGATATGTGTATATTGACTGATGTATGTTTCTAGGTCATTTGTCGGCTTGGCTTGAAGGACTTTAACCTTTATATTTTGCAGGTGCTTTTTATCACAGGCGATACGTGATCTTGGCAGAGTCCCCGAGCAGATTTAAGGCCAATTCCTGGATAGATGGACTCAATTAAAAGTTTGATTTAAATATAAGATAACAGTATAACTATTTTAAAGTTTGCTCTGCTGAGTGTGATGACCTCGCCACGTGAGTGCCGTAAAGTAGTAACTAGGGTATAGACCCAATGATAGCCCGGGTAAGTAAGGAATTATCTACCCGCTTGCTTTTAGGTGTTTGGTGGATCAGTCATAACTGTGAACTAGGGTGGATGTTTACGACCAGGTGACGTATCACGTTGACTGCTGGAACGGAAGTGGAGGTTATTGTATAGCAATGTGATTTGTCAATCTACTTACGTAATATATACCCTGGTGTGACACTGTCCTGATGTGATGGTAAACAGTTTGGATAATTAATTAAAACAGTTTGGATGTAGTGTTAAACACTTTGGTATAATTTATACCATTGTGTGATATGATACCGATCATGACCGTCAAAAATGACACCCTGCAACGTTTGGCAGCCTGGGACACGTACCCTGTCGTAACCATTCTGGACGCTATCCTCGATAACCAAACCAACAGCTCAATATCAGAGGAACAACTTCTTCTCGCTCGTCTGGGACCACGGCGGAAGGATTTGACGTCTGTCATCTTCCTATTGGTCATCTATTTGTTGATATTTATGTCCGGGACGTTCGGGAATATCTGCACGTGCATTGTGATAATTAAAAACCACTACATGCGGACCACAACGAACTACTTCCTGTTTAGCTTGGCAGTGTCTGACGTCCTCATACTTATATTTGGTAAGAACCGATTTTTTCCTATCACATTTTTTCTTGGTTTTAAATTTCCGTGAGTCACAATCATGCTGGTTCAATTTCGCGCTAGTAAACAAAAATATATAAACACGAGTAAACAGTGTCGATCTTTATTTCTTCTGGCTGGTAATATGTGGTCGTTTGCCTGTCCCGCCTAAAAATGAACGTTTATTTAGATGAAACATTACTTATACCGATAGATGAGATTAAAATACATAGACCAATGCATATAATGGACTAGCTTCAATATTGATGATATGTAAGTAGCATGCGTTTGTGTTATTTAAGCTACGTGACCAGCGGTTAGTATCCGCCTGTCTTTGTGTACGTGAGGAGGGGATTAAGATTGGTATTTTGACGTTTTACCAGGTTGGCAAGTGGGCGATCACAACGATAACCATGTTCTGCATATGCAATGTACTTTATTGCAAGCTGCGCGTGCTGATAGCAATTATTTTTTTCATATAGAAGAGTTATGTGTGGGTGATTAAACAAATTTCTGTCGGCGGTACTTCTGGAGTTATCCAAGCTGTGTCTCTGATTACGCGTATCATGCAGTCTCATCATGTCCGGTGTTTATGCTTGTTTAGCATATGTCATATGTTTGTTATATACCTTATGTCATAGGAAGATTGTTTTTTCTGTAAGAGCACATGGACCTTTGTTTCTTTCCGTTGGCCATTGTTCGATTTTGTCCCTTTACAATACCTACAGCTGTTTTGTGGTCGAATTTGTGTAGCCTGAAAATTCAGTCGTTCTAGAAGAAGATTGTCTGGAATACCACAAACCATAGGTTCTTTAACCAGAGAGTCTCACAGTTCCTCATTCACATGAGCTTGCTTTCGTTATGTAGTCGAGTTTTTGCGAACACGTGAAGAATTCGTGTCCCTCGTTACAGTGTAGTTACTTTACGCTTTGAGGAGAAATATTCCTCAAAATTTTACATCATGACGTCCAGTTTTATTTACGTTTTGTCATCATTTTGAACATTTTAAGTTCTCAGCGAGATTGTCATTCACGATCATTTCTGCTGGAGGTATTCGCTTCTCCATATTTGTTATTTAATATAACTTTAACCTGACACCATTTAGTATTTGATGTTAACCAGAGGGTGATACCAGCTACAGTAATGGGGCAAGATACGGACAGATAAAACTACACAGAAGAGGATCAAAACCTCGGACTTTCTATACACCACAGTCTAGTTTCAATCCGATAACCAATCATTGTAGATCCAAAGTTACGAATTTGATAATTCCACACCTTTTGACCTTTAATATCAATCACCCACTGTCACATCTGACAGACACTTGCGATAACAGTGATTGATGAAGTGGGATAGATGATGCAGATGTTAGACATTCTGAAATAACAGTTCATGAACCATATGATATAATCTCCGTCACTGAACCAAAACCCCTTTAAGTAACATAACGTCAGTGACTTACACCGGAAGTGGTGTACTCGCTGGTTTCCATTACATTTTGCGCATATGGTTTATTTCCGGTAGATTTCTTGTTACCAAGACTCGTCTGTTTCATTCTCTTAAACACATCAAGGGATATTGAATTATGTTCGTCGGAGATATGAGACCCTGTCATCCATGGGAAAATGTCAGGTTTTATCATAAAAAATCGTAAATCTACTGAACAATCACCCGAAAACGTGAGCAAAATGGATAGAATCGTTGACAGGACTTATAAATCATTTTTATATTTATTATCAAAACGGAAATACGTTATAATTTCATATATATATATTACTGACTTGCGATCTTTTCAATTATCAAACTGTTGTTGTATCGACAGATAGTAGAAAATATTCCTATAGTTAGCTTGATTTTGGTCACCTCTATTTTGAAATGGCTCAGTGCTAAACTATTTCCCAAGATTCGTTGCGATACCGTCTTCCGGGGTTCTTTAATAATAATAATTCGAGGTTCTTATCACAACCTAGTTCGTAGGTCGTCTCAAAGTGGTTCACAAATTAGTATCCGTGGTTATAGGGCCTTTGCAACAAATCAATATCTTTCTCAACTCCCTGGGGAGCATACAGCCGGTGTTGTCATTTCGGCGCTCACAGCTAGCATTCAACAATTCTAGCACTGCCAAACCACTTACTCATTTACAGCTGAGTAGACTGGAACAAGCTGAACAGAATCTTGCTCAAAGATACAACACAATGGTGTGACATGGCTCGAACCCGCAATCCGTCGGTCTCGAGCCCGGCGTCCTACCACTAGACTACCGTACCGTAACTTGTCTTTGTGGTGGTAATTTCTATTCACACTTATAAACGACTCGATTTTATTGAGATTTTGTAAAACCTGTATATACCAGATAATGTTAAGACCTTCCTAACTTATCTTACGCCGATGTGTTTATTAAGTACGTATCCGTAGGTCGGGGATATAGAAAGGAATATACCTGCTGTTACTCAATCGTTGATTCGTAAGGGGTGACTAATTTGGAAACCTCTGCAGAGTTTGAGATCTGCTTTTGGGAACTCTACTTGTTGACACAAAAGCGACCAAAATATGTATAGCTGCTGCATCCATTGTTTCCTGACACCTTACATGGCAATATTTACAAATGCCACTGTTTCGGAATCGATAACGGAAGTGTAGGCAAGTCTGTTTATTTCTCAATAACTTGAGTGTAGAACCTGATCCAGTTCTCACCGCGTATGAATATATGTAAATATGGGCAGACTTCTTTCCGCAAACCTCGTGTCAATGTTTACAAACAAACGCTAGCATTTAGACTACCGTGGGTTCGAGACACCAAATGATGTCGGGTTCGAGACAAGACATCATGTTCATGACCGGTCATAAAAATGAAGCTAGTGTCAGATGCTACAGTCGCGATTGTTCGTCGATACAAAGACGCTCCACCAGCTTTCTCTCATCTATGAGTGTCGGCACAGAAACGATGGCTATCGTTCCTAGAAATGTAGGTCAAATTTCTCGTCTCCTAAATGTTACATCAACAGTCACTCCATATGGTGTACATGACATCTGTACAAACCTCTGGTTTGCTTACAAACAGCAATTTAAATAACCGCACATTCAACTTCCACCAGGCCTAGGCTAGTCACTATCGCTCGACGACATGGTAGCACTCTCTACCTTTGCCTTTGCCTTTGGGCGCATCACTTTTAAAAAATGGACGTCCGCGGTCATTAGTATTTTCTACAAAGTATTTTGCCCCAGTACCTCAATTTCATACAAATATAAAATTATTTATTCCATTACCTACTTATACAATTATGAAGGTAATGTATGAAGTTAAATATGGATATTTTATGTGAATAAAAATATTGAAATGGAGGAACTTTTTTCATTTGTTGTCACGGATAAAGTGGGCGGGGTTTAGCTGTCTGTCAACGGCTTTTGCGAAAAAAATAATTTTGAACGCAGATTACACAAGGTAAATGCATGTAATCGCCTCTTTAAATCGTTTTATTGTTAAAAGAAAATATTGTCAATATAAGGATTAACCTTTTATTTTGTTTTGTTTATGAGATAATAAATCCAATGGATCACGAGGTAAATTGTTAGTAAACGCGCAATTTACCTTGTGCTCCATTGGATTTATTATCTCATAAACAAAACAAAATAAAAGGTTAATCCTTAAATATCTTGTTTTTGACATTGATGTTGAGCGTTCGCCCAAGCGATAAAGGTTATGGGTGTGTACTACATGTAAGACCGAGAGAAATAAGTCCTTAAAACTGGTAAGTGATAGTCTCAGCTTGACATTCAGTTTTAAATGGGTAGCGGTAGGGACTAGTTTAACAGTTGTCAGTACATATAATGTAAAATATGATTGGGTGAAAACCTGTGCTGGTGCCTTCAGTATGGTATTTTAGTGAGGTAGTACTACAAAATAGGCATCAGATACGCCAGCGTACCGCCCCCAGGACACAAACGGAGGCACGTTCATAAATGACAGTGTTAATAGAACATTACAGACAACAATATTGAATTAGTTATATATAATTATATTTTTCTATAAAAGTACTTTTAATGGATTATTTTTGAGAAAATATATCTATTTCACTTTCCACGCGGTGCGTTGTCAGTTACAAAATCTTAAAGCCTCGTAACAGAGGTGATTAAGATAAGTTATAAAATGAACGAGAACAATTTCTTATTAGTTTGTTTACCTATTTGTTAACTTATTGCGCAGTGTACTTCATTTTTAGCATACAGTATCCATTACCAAATTTTATAGATGCAATTACATGTGTGTCTGTTGTTTATCTTACCAGTCGCCATGTCCTAAAATCCGCGAAGTTTATCATGAGATACCCTTTGTTATTGATGCAAGTTCCCTAGATATCGTTTACATACCTTTTGAGATAGTTAATAGACACGTTGTCATTAACAAGCAATCACGTTGATGACTATTTGTAATATTGTTACTTTTCTGCAGAAGGCTGCGCCAGCTTGTTACGACATAAGTATAATTATGACATCGAGGTTAAGTGGTATACAGTTAACGTTGGTCGGCCGTTTACAGAGGTAAATATATGTAAATGAACGTTGTCAATGGACTTAAGGAGAGATTAATGATATGCAATATGTAAAATATAGAAACATTGGCTGAACTTCTGTTCCAACCATAAAAAGCAAAATGGCTGTGGCATCTAAGGAAAAGAACCAGCAGTACATATCCATGAAGTGATACTTAAACTGTCTATAAGTACATGTACATATTTGTTCTGGTCATTCAACACTTGCCACAAGGTGTTGGTCAAAACCTGTCCGACTTCGATGACCAAACAATGTCCATTTAGGAGCTATGTTTACCTAGTGTGAAAAGTGTCTCCTCCCAAAACAGTTACCCGCTAAAACATAGTTTATCGTTGATGATTTAGACTCCTCAATTCATTGAATGTAACTCCGGAATACATATTTTGGTAACATTGAGGTAAATCTGAATTTTAAGATATTTTTTTCGCGTATGAAATTATATGGTGAA